CCCCAAAACCCCAAAACCCCAAAACCCCAAAACCCCTTTATTAAACAGCTTTATTGAATTTTTAAGCTTCTTTGAATCCCTTTGGTCTCTTATACCCCTTGGATTTAGGGGTCATATCTTTGCCTGGAGCAATTAACCCGACGATGATGAATAGGACGATGGAAAGCAAACTCATGATTCCAATAATTGCATATAGCATGACCTGCTTGCTATACATTATTGAATTTTCAAAATGGATCCATCTTCCATACCTAGAGTTTTATACAAGGGTTTACATTTCAATTGAGCTAGACACTTTTTTTAGGAGGTTAAAGAACCCAACCAGTTCGTTCCTTGAGAGGTTCTGAAGACCTGCTTCGGGGTAAATCAGTTTGAATGCAGCTGAAAGTCCGGATAGCTAAAATTACTTAGATTTTGAGCATACCTCTAACTTCGCGTGAACCTTACACTTATCTCAAGGGATACAGTCAACTAATTGTGCAAGAGCTTGGAAAGATGGCTTAGCCTTCTGGATGAAATCTGATTTGTCATCAGTATGGTAGATCTCGTCTTCAGTCAAAGGTACAAATTCTGAACGATAAAGCGGAGCTTACCAGTTGAGATAAAGATAGAGTCGAACATCTTTAATGCCCTTTTGACTAAATCATTCTCTGTCTTGTTATTGTGAGTGTAAATGAACTAGAGATTATGCTTGAATTACTTCATCAGCAGCAATGTCTAGCCTCATTTTTCCATAAGCTGAAAGAAGGAAATGGTAAAGATGGTACATGTTGGATAACCTATCTTTGTGGAACCCAACTCTTCTATTAAAGTCTGTATGATTTGGATAATGGTAATCTGGTTCTCCTCCAAAGAAATATTGGGATAAATGCATGCTCGTTGCTGAATGCAAGCCACTGATAAGCTTGGACATGGAGTCTATTGGTTTAGCTAATATTATACCAGTTCTTTTAGCACTTTCTTGATGCATTTTACGCCATATGTTGCTTCCTAAATATGTCTTACACCCAAGAGGAAGGAAGGGTTATACCATTATACGCTGCATCATTTTGTTTGCTTAATTCTAAGTCTACAAAAGGGAAATCTTGGTCCTCAAGTTCCATCCATTGGAGATGTTCTTGTCTAAAGTTTGGACTCACACCAAATTTTTATAAAGACACGAGCCCATAAAAATCCCAAAACCCAGTCTAACAAACTTTTCTTACTGCTGATTTGCTTCTGTTGTTGCTGATTGGCTTAGATCATCCTCTATGAAGCTTAAAACTCTTGTCCTACTGACAGCATTGGTGATTGGATACAGATTTGTGCCCATTTTCCAATCTTTTTCGAGTTTCCTATTATTTGCTTTAGTGATGCTACACTCTACAGTCTTGCATCCCTTCTGAGGCTTGAGAACAGTACACTCAGAATCTTTGTTGACTCTGAAGTATCTGAAAAATCTCGAACTGGTGAGCCGAGTTATAGGTCTCCTGATTTCGTTATTCAATCTGTTTAGCATATATTCTAGAGAATTAAGAGCGAGGGTTACTATCCATGTCGACTGACGGGCTAGAGAGATGACACACAATACTTACTTGAGTCTATATCACTCACTATACTCAAAGTATGGCAAGTTATAGAGAACGTAAGCTACACATCCTGTAATACTGATTATGACCAGTCTCCAGAAGAATCCTTTCATCTTTTGTTATAATTAAGAAAATACAGAAATATTGGGGTTTTGGGGTTTTGGGGTTTTGGGGTTTTGGGG